AAAATTTTATTCAATGATTTCGATATTCACTTTGGTTGTTCTTATTATTTCGAACACGTCTGTACATTAAAGCAAATATTGTTCACTTAACTACTTTGAGATAAGAACTTTTCTCATTTGAATGCTTTTCATGTTAAAGCAAAAAAAAATTTTTTTTTTAAATCTTTTCAAAACATAGAAGCGACTCTCAAATCGTTCATTTACATACATACATATGTACATAAATTTCAAGTTAACATTATTGCGTAAAAGAACGGATTTTAAATTAACGGAATTCATAAAGAGAAAATCAGTAAACCTCTTAAAAGACCACAGCACAATTAAAAGGAATTAAATATATTTTCAAATTTTCAACCAAAAAACTTAAATAAAATGTCACGATTAAGCTACGCTGCGAAAATATGGATGCAACCGCATCGATTGGCGAAAACCTTTACAACGCTRATACGTGTCATTTCCACCACGGCGCCAAAACCGAACTTCAGCAACCACGAAATTCCGTTAGCCAACGAAACGGTGAACGTTTTAGCGAAATCGGAGGGATTGACAGATAGCAGTGGACCCAACAAAAGCAATAATAAGGATTTGAACGATGTTGCGCCTATAGACGAGGCGAAATCGACTTCAATCAAGGAGGATAAGCTACCCGAAATGACAATTGTGGACATAAATAGCGGCTATGGACGTATGGACTTTGAAGATCGCATGGCACATATGGATCTGGAAGAACGCATTAACGAAGCTAAACAAAACAATACTCCAGCGTTGCCTTTAGTGCGCACAATGCCGACGGTGGTCAATATCGATGGCTACGGCGACGATATGATGTACGAAGACATGCCTGATTTGATTTTGCCGCGGAAAATTACCACAAAAGTAGCTGAACAAACTGCTGATGCAGCAGCTGCATATCCAATTGGTGATGGTGCTGTAAGTACGATGCCAATGGCGGCTGAAGCAGTACAAGTTACTAAAGGGTCCAAACAGGAGACAATAATAGACGCTGAGGAAGCAATTAAAGCGATTGGCGTGGATATTGCAACCAGTGAGCAGAAATTTGTGGCAGCCAGTACAACGAAGGCAAAAAATGCCATGGACGATGTGGAAGTAATTTGCGAGGCACCAGTGGACATAGATGCCTTCGCTAATGAGGAGGAGAAAAAGCAGGGCACTGTCGACATTGACGCCTATGGTGATGATGAGCGCTTCAAATTGCCACCGATACCGAAGGAGCGTAACAACGTCTTTGAATTTAAAGGCATCAAGATCATTATGCCCAAGCGTATGCTGCGCGATTCAACTTATCGCTACCGCTTGGATCCAAACGATAAGGACAAAGCAGACGATATGCAAATTTGCGTCTATGAGAAGTGAATCTACACATGGTGCAAGGGATATTTTATGAGGATTCTTTTTTTCAAATACTTATGTCATTTTGTAAATATCATGYCATTGGTAATGTATTTTTAATAAACTTAACTGTTTAAAAAATATAACAAAGCTCTGCAATATAGTAACTTATTACTACGAAAAACACTATACTACTAAATACTACTACGTCGTATGTCGTATTAGGTACGTAGCTTCTTTGTCAACAGTGCGCTACTTCCTACCTTTTTACGTTTGTCCTTTCCACTTTCGTCAGTTGGACTTTTGCCCTCTTTCACTTCACGGTTTATTTTGTAAGCCGCTGTCATGCGTTTTATATTCTCCTTGTGCACAGTTTCGTGAATAACTATACGATGTGGATAATCTTCGCCCAGCACACAGCCATATTCGCGTTGGGCGCTCAAATGTGCCTTCCAAGGTTCATAAATACAACCTGCTGGGTACTTGGCAAGTTCAGGTACATATTTTCTTATGTAAGCGCCAGTTGGATCGGTTTTCTTGCCGAAAGCAACCGGACTGTAGACACGAAAGTATTGATAAAAGAATGCTGAGGCTGAGAGCCACATCCAATTGCCGGCATTCAATGCCCAATCCTGATCGAGTAGTAATTCTTCGAATACTTTTTGGCCCTCCTCCCAAGAGATCCATAAATCACCACGTGTTAGAAAGCATGCAACAGCGTGACGCGCCAAATGATGTATCCAACCCTCCTGACGCAATTGACGCATTATGGCGTCTATAAATGGATAACCCGTACGGCCATTAGTCCAAGCTGATAAATGTACTTCATTGGTTTCCCATGGTATTTGTATACAGAATTTATTACCCAACATACGATCGAAATTTGGCTCTGACGCAGCGGCTGTGTAGTAAAATTCACGCCAGAGCAGTTGTCCTATCAATGATACGGGTGGTTTGGAATGCTTGGTTTGACGCTTAAGTATCGACATTACACGCTGATGAAACAAGCGTGCGCTGAGGCAACCAAACTTCAGGTATGGACTGAGCACAGTAGTGCTGGGTTCAAGCGAATTCGGTGCAGTATTTGGTTTTTCAAAAGCAGCAACCCACGATTCGTTGCTCAGTGAAGCATCCAAACGGCGTAAACCTTCAGTCTCGCCTGCAATTAAAAGTGTTTGCAAATTAGCAAAACCTTTGAAGATCTGCACATACTTACCGCCAACAAATTTATTTTCTCCTAACTCCTCGGGCCGCTTCACAAGTTCATCTAATGTTGGATATGCATAACAATTAGTGTTTTCTTTCTCCATTGTATCCTTTGGTGGCTTTTGTTCATCTGGCAATATCTCGGGGTTTGCCACCGGCAATGGCACAATTAATTTTTCGATAACGCTTAAAAATTTCTGATATGTTAGTGGCGCATTGCCACCATTTCTTTGTATTACTAAATCTGGATTATATATGGTATGCGAGGAAAATGCATCCACTTTTACTCTAGCTGCCTTAGCCAAACGTTGAATCTCTGCATCACGCTTCAATGCATACGGCTCAATATCACTTTCAAAGGTTAGTAAACTCACACGCCACTCCTTAAAGATGCGTTGAAAAACCGTAGCTGGTGTACCGCGCACCACATATAATTGCGTATTTAGTTTCCGTAAATTTGTGTCCAAGTCTGCTAGTGTTTGTTGCAGAAAACGCCAACGGTTCGCGCCAACGCGCAACCATTCTAACAACGCAGTATCGAGTATAAAAATCGGTCGCACACAATATTTTGTGGGTTGATTTACTGCTTTGGAGAAAACAAGAGCCAATGCTGGGTTATCATGTACACGTAGTCCTTTGCGAAACCAATGCACCAACGTAGTTTTCGACTCCATGGCTCATTCCCGAAATTAAATTCAAATTTAAGAATTTTACGCGAGAAAAATGCACTTGACTCCGTCAAATAGTGGAACATATAACAGCTGTTTTTGGAAATTGCATTCGAATTCCAATTGGAACTACACTTGAAATTTGGCAGCACTCTTCACTATATGCCGGACTTATTTCTGGATCAAAACGCACTCGTTATGATATCTAAATTGTAGCTTACTTTTAAAAATATTAACTTAATTTCACCTCTTCTTTAATAATTTTTTTTTTTGTTAACACGAGTAAATTAACCTCTGTTTAAGCATCTGAAACCTCTCGCTCAATTGGAAAGAAACAACACTGTTTGTATTTACTTGGGTTTGCTTTAACAACTCATTCGTAAATTCCAATCAGGTTTGTGGATTTTGACGTTTGTCTTCCAATTTGACAGTTCTCTGTTTTTTTTTACTTTTTCTTATTTGTTTGCAGATTAATTTTCGTTGAACGGCTTCCAGTTGATTCTTGTACAGGTTCTTGTTCCCGCAGCTCATATTTCATTCAAAAAATTACAGTTTACACCGTTTAGCAGTCGAATTAAAGCAAAGATAAAACGAAATATCTTGAGCAAAGAGTTTTATGCAAAAGAAATGTGCCTAAAATTCGCCTTTTAAATGTTTTTAATAGTTAATTCAGCAACGGTTGCAAAAGTGTAGTGAAAGCGGTGAGCGTGTGTGCCTAGCGTACTGGCAGATACTGGAAAACAAGAAAAAAAATTGCAAAAAGTGACGCGGGAGCAAGCCGATAAAATATGTGTTTTAAATGAATTAGAAGTAATTACAAAATTATAATATATGTATACTTGGCAAAGTGCGTATTATGTGTGAATGCATAAAATATGCGTATCAACTTGCAATTCGCTTATTTGGGCCTGCTATCGGTGACGTGTATTTCGAGGTGAGCGCTAAATTTGCTGACCATACACAATTGCATGCAATACATACATACTCACACTCATATTAAAATTTATATTCAAACATGTTTTACAAAATATTTGCATGGCTGGTTTACTAATGAAATAAATTAAATATTTTTCTTTTCAGTTGTTTTCTTTTCTTTGTGTTTCTCACAGAGAATGCTAAATTTGTAGCTGCATGTAGTGATGAATCGACAACGCTTCCTGTTGAAGCTGGCGCAGCTGTTGAACACAAAGCAGCTGCTGCACCGCCGGCAATAGAGGCGCATGCAGAAATTATACCGATAAATGAAGAAGTGGTAAAATTAACAAAAAATGAGGGTGAACATATTCAAGCGCCACAAACAGCTGCTCCAGCTGCTGCTAATGCGCCGAACAATGTTGTACACGATAGCACAACAGAGCCAGTAACAGAGTCGGCTGAAGGTTGGCTGTTGCCAAGTAGTGTTATGTATAGTGCAAGTGCAAGTGATAATGATGGAAATGATATAATACGTGAAAAAAGTGCTGTGGTTATAAATGAAGCCGTTGAACCAGCGCATCAAAACGAGAATGAGGAAATGATCGATTTTGCAGTTGAAGCACCTGCCTTGGTCGATGATGACTTGCAAAATCTGCAAGCAGAGCGTGAGAGCGTGCAAGAAAGGTAAATCTATTTGTGTATTTCTAATTAATTTCTGAAGTTACTCTTCAGCATTTAATCACCATTTCACACAGAATTTTCTGATTACTGATGAAATTCGTACAGAAATGTTCTTTTATTATGAAATGTTGTATATCAACTTATATTTTATATAGTTGTTTAACAATTGCGGTAATTTACTTGCGTTAAACGTTTTAAATAACCATTTATGATACTTGTTAAATAATACTTAAGTGGTTGCGTATGAAATTGATCTGAATACTTGTTTACGTTCCTCATTGATAACTTTGTTGTGGTTGCGTCGTGACTGCCTTACTGACGCCCATTGTTTATGTTAAACTACTTCCCCAAACAAATGAATATAATTTTTCGTCTAGTAATACATTTTTATGGGTTTAAATGCTTGAATGTGCGTGATATAGAATTAATTCCACATTCTGCCCTCTTATCAAGCTTCCAATTATGAAATTTATACCATAATTTATATTTAGAACACTCGTGTCGCGTATCAAATCATTGAGGAAACTACTACAATTTAAGCTTTATTTCTGCAGACGTTACTCGTCGCCTTATTCATGCCTTCCTAAGAAAAGTAAATATGAATGTTGTATTGTTAAGTTGTAAAGTCCAGGATGCACTGTGAACTTCAGCTGTTAAAATGTGATAATAAATATATACGAATGTATACATGTTTACTCATTTATCATTAGGCATTGCAAACTTCACTACACTTTGCTCTCAGCTAATTTATAATATATAAGCATRCATACATATGTCATGTATGTCCGTTCATACTCAAAGAGGGGCGTTTGGAAAAAAAACCCTGTGTTTAAAAATAATTACGGCCACACTTTAAAAGTGCATTATTTTTTGCACAAAACGACTGGCTGGCGAGCGGCATCTTTGTAGTACTTAAATACAATTTGTAAATATATACATAAGCACCTACATATGTACGAGTATGCACGTTTCGCAATTATCGACAATTTCTTAATGCGGAATTTCGATCAAAATATGCAAAATCAAAGCCAAAAAAAAAAACAGTTGAAAAGTTAAATATGATATGCGAAAATAACCATTAACAAGGAGGGGTAAAAACTAAGAGGCTTGCAATAAGGAAAATACTATAAATATTTCTGTTGTTGTTAATGTGTGTCAGAAAATCCTCAATATTTATAGATTGCCACAGTTCATTTGCGACTAATGAAATTTTGGCGAATATTTTAGATGCCTCTTTTGCCAAAAAGAGGTATCTTTATAAACTATTATTTTTCATGTCTTCTCATATAATTATTATTATTTTCCGCAATTTCGTTTGAATGCCACTAATTAACGGGGAAATCAAAAAATAATAATTATAAAAACTTGTGTACTCCTAATTGCATTGACAATGAAAACTTTTTGGGTGAAACAGCAAATTAAATGTGTAAAAATCTATAAAAAAAAACAAATACCAGTACTCATGGATTTGTAATACCAGTGAATAATTTCATAATAACTCCGACCGCAATTCCCAAGTTCAAAATTAGCTTGAACCCAACAATAATAAATGTCTAATGACGTGTTTAAGTAAATTACAGTGAAAATACTTTAGTTATTATCTGCCAATCAGTCGTTTTAGAGTGCCAGTAGTAAAACAGAATTATTATAAAAATGTGTACCTACTTAACTAAACAGATACATATTTATGTACACATGTAAATAAGTTGTTAGAATGAATTTTAATCAACCTTATCAACACAATGTTTTTCAAATTAATTCTGTTGAGTTATATTATATTTATGTGTAAGGGTGAAAAACTGTGCACAAATAATTTTATAATTTATTCCAAACGTGTTTCATAGCTATTTCAATTTTATAGTTAGCTGTAAAAGTTTTATAAAAATTTATATTTTTTTTATTTAAATCTGCTGTTATCGCTACAAGTAGAGTTGTTAAAAAAGAAATAATAAGCCATGCGAAACGTCACTTCCACAATATTTTTTATAGCTTTTTGTTATGATTATTTTATGTAAGTATTTATGTATTTGTGCACACACATATTTTCAAATACTCTACTTATTGTCTTGGTTATCTTTCAAAATACATACATGTAACTAAACGCATTGCATTTTTATTCATTGAAACATTGAAGATTAAATCTACAATTATGGTGTGTACAGCGCGCATAGGAAATACACAAAAGTGTATACGTAATTATATGGTGCCACTTTCATAGATTTCAAGCCTTCTTATCGTGCTATTTTTTGTTTGTTCAACTTTGACACTCTAATCTTCTATTTGCATTAGCTTTTACCGTTCCTGCTATCAGCGGCGGTGGCAAACAATTCCTGTCGTCGAGCACATTTTCGCACACACCCATTTAAAAAACATTAAAATAGTAAAACTATAGCTTGTTTAAAGTGTTTTCGCAACTTACGTAAAAAATATGTCTTTTTATTCAATTTAATATTCTATTTATTCTACAATTCTATTTCTTGTCCACCAGCAACAATGCAATTAATGTACGGTAAACAGCACTAAATTTTCCTTTGGTTTGGTGTTAAGTTCAAGGTTGCCACATTTGGCTTTCCGTTCGACTTCATGTCTGAACGAGTTAATTTGTATTTCGCTCTTTCGAAGGTCACTGCTGTCATCGAAAACTTTTAGAAAGAAGCATTTTGTATTATTATGCGCAATTTACGAATGCGCATTGGGACGAAAATAGTTGTTTGTAATATTTTATTTATTTTTTTATTATTTTTTAAATATAAAAAGAATTGCGTATTTTTCTTTTGTTTTCTTTTATTTAACAATTTTATTATTATTAATATTTTTTTGTTTTTTTTTGAAATGACTACGTGTGCCAATTGCTAGCTTCGATATTAGTTTATTTATACAATTTCTGATATTTAACTACTTGCTCGTGAAATTCGAAAATATTCTTTTATATACTATATTATTTTCCCAATATGTATTATGAAAACTTTTTCTGTATATTAATATAAGGTTATAAATATGTATAAGAAATAAAAATGTTGTATATAATAAAATATTTGTAGGTATGTAATTAAAATATTAACATGCAAAATATTTTAAAAATAGCTATCAATTATATGTTTATGCCACGTGTTTTAAAGTGTTTTTGGCATTCTTTGTTTTGAAATTCTTGAGTTCTACATGTTTTTTTTTTAAATATATTTTGACATACACACACTGTTCTTTATTGCTAATTCTACCTAATTGTGTCAAAATTTTGTCATACTTTTTTTTTGGAAATCTAATTTTATATCAAAACTGTAACACATTTTTTTTTTTTTTGGAATTTAGTTATGCAGACATTAATTTAAATATATGCATATGTTGTTGTAGCTCAGAAAACAATCCTCAAATAATTTAAAAGTATGTTTCTGGGTTGACCGTCCTTGGTTGAATACAATTCTAGGTCCGTTCGGCATATGCTGTTCTGACTATCTTGGCAATTGTAGATTGCTATTTTTCGATAGACCCAACAAAATTCGGTGATATCTATTTCTGTATTTACCTTATTGCTTTATAAATCATTACTGGAGTGACGATTTTTCAACGATGTTGTATTGTGGTTTAATTCTCTCCTTTTGTTTTTTTTTTTTCAAACTCTTTCTTTGTGCACCGACTTAAGTTTAGTCATAAAAAAATTGCTAAAAATAAGCATCCATTGTGTCATCAAAGATTTCTCGGCGACCTATTGGATTCCCTGAAAACTTACCCTCAGGTCCTCCAGCAAAAATAATGGAAAATCCCAAACCACCTTAAAAAGCTATAGCTTGTCATCTATTAACGTTCGGAGACCTCTTGGGTTCCTTAAAAACCTGCCCTCGAGTGCTCACCCATGGCTAAAGTTATATAGTACTATAGTTATCGTTTTCACTACCGCCCAACCTCCCAAAAACAATCTCAGCAAACGCAGCGTCGTTCTGTCTGAATTTCTCTTCGAGTAGTTCATTGACATCTCAGCACTATCGTTCAACAGCTTCCCACACCATGTCACCAACCGAGAAACAATTAACATTTCTACCTAAACAAAAACATAAAGTTTCGGAAAATCGAAAGCAAAAACGCCTTAATGCGCGCGCATGTCCATAACAATTTATCAGTCTGCCACTTGACCAGTAACGCCTGCAATTACCCGACGTTGCGCATTTAAATGTAATTTTTTATGACAACGAAATTAAAACGGTGAAAATAAAATATTTTGAAAAAAAAAAAAAAATAATGAAACACTAGCATGAAATGAATTGAAATTGCTTAAAACCGCCCGCATTGATGGCGCGACGCATATGTGAATTGCCGACAACAGCGCGCCTCCGCTGGGAAGGTGGTGGCGCTGAGCGAATTTAATCGCGCACCATTTTCACCCCTTAGGGATAAATGCATAATTTTTACAGCAGCATTTTTGCGCATAAACAATATGTGAAAAGTTAAAAAAAAGTACGATATTACAAAAACATATACTATATATATCGGGTGATTTTTTTGAGGTTAGGATTTTCATGCATTAGTATTTGACAGATCACGTGGGATATCAGACATGGTGTCAAAGAGAAAGATGCTCAGTATGCTTTGACATTTCATCATGAATAGACTTACTAACGAGCAACGCTTGCAAATCATTGAATTTTATTACCAAAATCAGTGTTCGGTTCGAAATGTGTTTCGCGCTTCAGCGATGAGGCTCATTTCTGGTTGAATGGCTACGTAAATAAGCAAAATTGCCGCATTTGGGGTGAAGAGCAACCAGAAGCCGTTCAAGAACTGCCCATGCATCCCGAAAAATGCACTGTTTGGTGTGGTTTATACGCTGGTGGAATCATTGGACCGTATTTTTTCAAAGATGCCGTTGGACGCAACGTTACGGTGAATGGCGATCGCTATCGTTCGATGCTAACAAACTTTTTGTTGCCAAAAATGGAAGAACTGAACTTGGTTGACATGTGGTTTCAACAAGATGGCGCTACATGCCACACAGCTCGCGATTCTATGGC